CCCTGATTGGTTGTTAACGGTGGGTTATGATTGGTTGCTTTTGGACCAATCATGAGGTGCCGGATATGCAAATTTGAGGGATTCTAGTGGCCAATCAGAGAAAGGTTTCGAAGGTCAGGTCTTTGGAAGGGAACCAATCATGGTACTTGTTTGCTCTCTGAGAAACCATGGCAGACTCGCTGGTGTGCAGCTTCCCACACTGCTTGAATGAAGTGTTCCAGCCCTACCTCATCACACCACATATTCTCATTTGTCTGCAGTTTGACTAAGAGCTCTAAGTAAAATTAGCCCTTGGCTTCTGTGGGTGCCATGTGGAGATGTTTTGTAATCAGGATTTGCTGGTTTGGTAATATAATCAGAGCGCTTTCCAACGAAAACCTTTGGACCTTTATCAAACAGGCTGCCACTAAGCTGTTACTAAGCATAGACTTAAAAAATTGGGAATTTGGGCAATAAAAGTGACAACTCTAACATCTGCACCATTTAAACGTCATCATGTCCACTTCAGCTCATTGATCCAACTGGCAAGAACCATCTTCTTAATCTGGATTCTGTTGTCCAGGGTCTTTGCCATTAGCCACTCTTAGCTTTGATAAGTCAGATTTAGTCTTCATCTGGTAAATCTAAGAAGCTTAATGCAATTACATGGCTTTCCCTGGTGGAGCTGAGACTTGTTCCTGGTCTGCATGCCTGAGGTCTTTGTTAAGTGCAAAATACCATTTCTTTTTTCTTTCTTTCTTTCTTTTCTTTTCTTTTTTTTTTTTTTTTTTTTTTTTTTTTTTTTGAAGAGGTTTATGCTATAGGGCGCGTGCGCTCGCCAGAAAGACAGAAAGAGACAGAGAGACAGAAAGTGAGAAATCACCTGCCATGGGGGATGGCCATGCCACAACCCCTTCTCTTCCATTCTCCTCTCAGGATCTTCGGCATGCACACACACACGTCCAGCGTGAGTTTAAGCCACCAGGTTCAGGACTCAAACCATGGTCAACTGCATGGGAGTCCAGCGACATAGCCGTTACACCAACTGCTGGTCCCAATACCATTTCTTTTTTAGAGAGAGATTTTGTTATAGGACACATGCACTTGCCAATGAGACAGAGAGACAGAAAGCAAGAAATCACCCCTGGTGGGGATGGCCACACTACAATCCCTTATCCTCCATTCTTGTCTCAGCACACACACATGCACACCTGCCTGGCATGAGTTTCAAGTCTCCAGATCAAGGACTCAAACTGCAGTTGACCATGTGAGAGTCCAGTGCCTTGACCACTATGTCACCTTCTGGCCCCACAGAATACTATGTGTTAAAGGCCACATCCCTTGCTCCACCCCACCCCCCAGGGTAGAAGTTCATGCAGCAAATTATCCCAGAAAGCCTGAGACTGTGGCAACTGGATTATCTAGGATAATAGGGAAAGCCCCTCAGTTCAGCTCAAAGCTGACCCAGAAGGATCTCTTACCAGAAACAGGAACCTCAGACCGAAGGAGAGGAGGGCAAACTCCTCTAAGGGGGAGTGAGGGGCAGAAACTAAAAGCCAAGCCCAACAAAGGGTCTTCCCAAGAGGAGATGTCCAGGCATTAGGCGATGACCACAAGTACAAATACCAGGCTGTAACCATGGCAAGAACCAGCCTTCGCCAATGGTGGTCAGTCCATTCCAAGGACAGAGTGGATTCCCAGGACTGGCTCTAGAGATACCTTGAAAAGGACTGAGTGGAGGAGAGCAGGGTGTGTCCGAGATGTACCAGGGCAGAGCTGAGGGGACAGGCAAGACCAACGATTCCGCCAACCCGGCAGCGGTCCCGCTGTCAGAGGTCACTGGGACTTGGACATAATTTCCATAAGATGGACGTACCCATACATTTGTGTTCTAGAACACACGTTACAAAAGCACCCGACAGTCACATCTGTGAGACGGCACAATCTTTGTAACTTTATCCCATTCTTGACTACCTACAATGTCAAGAGACTGGAAAAATGAAAGTAGCACAGGCTTCTCTACATCCAAAAGGCTTTGAAAAGAGTCAGAAAACTGAGCCAAGGGGCCAGCAAGTGGCCTGGTGGTTAAGGCACTGGACTCCCACATGGTTGACCACAGTTCAAGTCCTGGACCTGGCGGCTTGCTTTCTCACTTCTCTCTCTCTCTCTCTGTGTCTCTCTCTTTGGTGAGCACATGTGACCTATTGCAAATTAAATAATAATAAATAAATTTAAATAACATAATTATTTTTAAAAAGAAAAAAAAAAAAAAAAGACAGCCAAGGATTTTGGTACTCTGAGTTTCTAGATCTTTCTCTGAGGCCTAGACTAGACATCCCAGATGTAAAATTGGGGAAATTTCTACAAAGAGCAACCAGGAAAATGGGTTCATTAAAGTTTGTAGAATTTTTGGAGAATTGTATATTCATTATCGTTGGTTTCAATAAATCGTAAGGATTTCAGCTTTAATTTCTGCAGGAGTTTTGAAGTCGTTCAGGAGGAGGTTGTTTAGTTTCTGTTTTTGTGCATTTTTGAGCGCTCTTTCTGTGTGTACTTCAAGCTTAATTCCTTTGCGGTCGGAGATTTAATTCCTTTGTGGTTGGAGAAGATACTGGTAAGAGTTTAAATACGTTTACATTTGCAGTGGCTTCTTTTGTACCCTAGATGTGGCCGGTCTTTGAAAATGCACCATGCGGGGATGAGAAAACGGTATGGGGTAGCTGTCGGATGAAATGTTTGCCAGGTGTCTGTCAGCTGCATGAGGGTTCTGGTATCAACGAGTTCTGTGTCTCTTCGTTTTAGTCGAGATAACCTGCCCGGTGTTACAATTTCCGACAAGCAGCGTGTTCAAGTGGCTCTTTCCCCTTTGATCTGGCAGTCTTTCGACATGTCTGGGTGCCTACGTGTTGGGCGTGTCAATGCTCCCGTTACGTCTCCTCGGTGAACCCCGCTCTTTTTCGTACTACCTGGTGTTTGTCTTTGTCTCTTGTGACCGTTTTTATCTTGAAGTCTAATTTATTGGAGATAAGTATCACCAGGCCAGCCTCTTCTTGCATGAAATGAATTTTTCCAGACCTTCAATTTCAGCCTATGTTTGTCTTTTTCGATGAAGTGTGTTTCTGTTTATTTTAATGTCACATTTAAATGAGAGTTTAATACTCTTAAACAACTACCAAAAGGAGATTACAGTGCATGAAGATCCCATAAAATGAACTTCACTTCTCAGCATCACAAACACTTGGAATACAAAAAGTCCAGGGATGGATATTAGAGGTAGAAAGGTACGGAAGAAGTATGCTTTAAAAGTAACCGAAAAAGAATAAAAAATGTCCCCGCCCCTTGCCCACATCCAAGGAACGGTGGTCTAGGTCATCAGCAGGGTAGCACGTCCTGGGCTCACTCCTGTGATAAGGACGAGCTTGCGCAGAACTGCGTACCCACGTGTGTACAGGAGATGCTCACGCACATCACACACTCCAGCACGTACACCCGCAGGGACACACAGCTGGGTTTTTGTTGTTCTAGGCACTCGATACCCACATTCCTAGGTCTGCCACCTTCCCATTCTGACAAATTACTTCTTTAGAGGCAGGACGTTTTCTTCAAAGAAGCCCTGGTTGACAGCATTACTTCTTTAGAAGCAGGATGTTTTCTTCAAAGAAGCCCTGGTTGACAGCATTCCCTGCTGGGAAGTATCTGTCCCCCACAAAGCAGGACCCGTCACTTGCAGATGCCTTCCCCACTCCCATCTTCTTGGTATTCTTCCAGACCATGACTGCGAAGCGTCCCGTCCCCAAGGTGAAGCTGCTGGCGGTTGTAGTTCTTGATTTCGCTGTAGAAGCAGGATGTTTTCTTCAAAGAAGCCCTGGTTGACAGCATTCCCTGCTGGGAAGTATCTGTCCCCCACAAAGCAGGACCCGTCACTTGCAGATGCCTTCCCCACTCCCATCTTCTTGGTATTCTTCCAGACCATGACTGCGAAGCGTCCCGTCCCCAAGGTGAAGCTGCTGGCGGTTGTAGTTCTTGATTTCGCTGTACCATCTATCAGCCACCTCCTTTCCTGTCTGATCGTAGGATGCCCAGGCCAGGTTCTCTCCGCACTGGCCGTGACTGGACTCTGGGCTGTGCTTGAGGATCCCCGTGCTGACCAGGGCCTCAGAGTACTGTTGCGCCTCCCGGTTGAGCTTCTTGCAGAGCATCAGTGGGGGCACTCCGTGCTGCTTCCGGTACTCATTGTGGGCCTTCAGGACCTCCTCGTTAAATTCTGTGGAAACTGACTTGCCCATGGCCGGCTCAGGGTGCTGCTCAGCTGCAGCTTGAACTGTGCTGCTCTGAGCTCCCTCCAGGTGTGTTTCTTATAAGCAGCATATAGACATTTCCTGTTTGTTGCTGTTTTCCATTCAATCAATCTATGTCTTTTAGTTGGGGAGTCTAGCTAGATTCTGGCAGGGTTCAGCAAGAAACTCTTCCAAAAGAGTAGAGTTCATGAACTTATTTATAAAATATAAGAAGTAGAGAGCAGAGGAGTCCTACGCTATCCGCAGCAAATTTAGAAAAGAACTCGAAAATAGGGCATGACAGGTAAGTGACACAGGAAGGAGAGCACGCAGGCTGCCCCTGAGGCCTGGGGACAACAGACTACAGGGGGAGGCAAGCAGATGGGGCCCTGGCAGGGAAGGAAGTGTCTGTCTGTGGCTAGCGGCTGTCTCTGAATGGACATCCAAACCCCTTACTACAGAGGAGGGAGTCCTAAGATAAATTCAAGGTAGGGTTTACGTCCCATATGGAAGCCGAGGTGAGGAGATGGTACCATTTTCTTGGAACCTAGAAACCCAGCTTGGGCTCATGACAAGATCAGCCAGCCACCAGCTGCTTCCACCCGAGACCGTCCAGGAAGTGCTGCGAAGACACAGGACAGTCAGCGACGCCCAGGGCCATGGTGGGGAGTGCCAGGGCTCCAGAATCCAAGGTGAGAGTGGGACTTGTCCGGGGACAGCTGAGAGGCTCTAAGCAAACTGTCCGTGACGGTACCTCAGGTGGCGTCTTAGTCCCTTTGTGTTGTTATAACAACGTGCCTGGCCTGGGTCATTTACAAACAAACAGAAACGTATTTCTCCAAGTTCTGGAGACTACGAGGTCCTCACTCAACTTGCCAGTAAGTCTGGCATCTGGTGAGGGCCCTGTGCCGGTTCCTAAGGTGGCACCATGCTGCTGCGACACTTGAAAGACAAACACTGTCCTCACAAGGCAGAAGGGTCAGAGGGCAAAGGGAGGCCTAGCTATTAAGAGTTCCTTCCATGAGGGTTCTGCCTTCACTTCTAAAGGCTTCACCTTAATACCATCGCATTGGCAATGAAGTTTCTTTTGGAGATAGTTTTGCTATAGGGCATGTGTGCCCACTGGAGAGACAGACAGAGACGAGAGAGGAAAAGCAAGAAATGACCTCCCAGGGGGAATGGTCACGCCGCACTCTCTTCTCCTTCATTCTACTCTCGGGATTTGGGGCACACATGCGCACGTGTTTGGTGTTTCAAGCCGCTGGGTCCAGGATTCATACCACAGTTGGCCATGTGGGAGTCCAGCACCTTAATCACTATGCCACCTGCTGGCCTCGGCAATTAAGTTTCGACAGGAATTTTGGAGGAGACACAAACATTCAAACCATAGTAGCTGCGCATTTCTTCAAGCCCAATTCTGTCTGTCCGTTGGTTATAGGTTAGCCGATGCCTTTCCATTACATTTCTTTTCTATTTCTGTTCATCAGAGTCCGTTGCTAGTGCTCTCAACCAAGAGTCTTGACTGTAAAAAGCCTGTATAATTCTGTGATATGGCCCATTGATGTGATTATCCAATTACTGTTTAAAACGTTAGCCAGAACAGATGACAACAGAGCCCTCAAACAGGACACTAGACCTCCTCTCGCGCACCTTGTCAAGCTCGGAAGCCATCTTTATCCCATATGGAAGCCGAGGTGAGGAGATGGTACCATTTTCTTGGAACCTAGAAACCCAGCTTGGGCTCATGACAAGATCAGCCAGCCACCAGCTGCTTCCACCCGAGACCGTCCAGGAAGTGCTGCGAAGACACAGGACAGTCAGCGACGCCCAGGGCCATGGTGGGGAGTGCCAGGGCTCCAGAATCCAAGGTGAGAGTGGGACTTGTCCGGGGACAGCTGAGAGGCTCTAAGCAAACTGTCCGTGACGGTACCTCAGGTGGCGTCTTAGTCCCTTTGTGTTGTTATAACAACGTGCCTGGCCTGGGTCATTTACAAACAAACAGAAACGTATTTCTCCAAGTTCTGGAGACTACGAGGTCCTCACTCAACTTGCCAGTAAGTCTGGCATCTGGTGAGGGCCCTGTGCCGGTTCCTAAGGTGGCACCATGCTGCTGCGACACTTGAAAGACAAACACTGTCCTCACAAGGCAGAAGGGTCAGAGGGCAAAGGGAGGCCTAGCTATTAAGAGTTCCTTCCATGAGGGTTCTGCCTTCACTTCTAAAGGCTTCACCTTAATACCATCGCATTGGCAATGAAGTTTCTTTTGGAGATAGTTTTGCTATAGGGCATGTGTGCCCACTGGAGAGACAGACAGAGACGAGAGAGGAAAAGCAAGAAATGACCTCCCAGGGGGAATGGTCACGCCGCACTCTCTTCTCCTTCATTCTACTCTCGGGATTTGGGGCACACATGCGCACGTGTTTGGTGTTTCAAGCCGCTGGGTCCAGGATTCATACCACAGTTGGCCATGTGGGAGTCCAGCACCTTAATCACTATGCCACCTGCTGGCCTCGGCAATTAAGTTTCGACAGGAATTTTGGAGGAGACACAAACATTCAAACCATAGTAGCTGCGCATTTCTTCAAGCCCAATTCTGTCTGTCCGTTGGTTATAGGTTAGCCGATGCCTTTCCATTACATTTCTTTTCTATTTCTGTTCATCAGAGTCCGTTGCTAGTGCTCTCAACCAAGAGTCTTGACTGTAAAAAGCCTGTATAATTCTGTGATATGGCCCATTGATGTGATTATCCAATTACTGTTTAAAACGTTAGCCAGAACAGATGACAACAGAGCCCTCAAACAGGACACTAGACCTCCTCTCGCGCACCTTGTCAAGCTCGGAAGCCATATTTAACACTTCAAAAACTACTTCAACTAATGTAGTATCAGAAATACAACCCACTGAGGTGGTGTTTCTAAATATCATGTCTATTCTTTCAACAAACATTTATCCTAAGCTTTGTACTGACTTCTGAGACTCTGTAGAAAACAAAATAGATCTGGTCCATCTGTCTAAGACGCTTATAGTCCAACGGGGAGACAGAAGTTAAATAAAGCATATAAGATTACCAAATATAATAAACCCTGTGAGGGGAAATCATTTTCCATGAGGGGGAATACAGGGAGATCTAACTTACTGGAGGCATTTCAGAAGAAATGAGGCCTGAAGTATAAGTGGGTAGTGGAGGTAGGAGAGAAAGGAGGATCCGGAAAAGAGAGGAACATGTATAAAACAGCAGCACAGCTTATGAGAGGGACTGAACATTCTCCCTCTGATAGACAGAAATTCCAGATACATTTTTATAAATGGCTTTTCAAGTGCATAGCTGAGTTGAAAGAAAGACATCAAAACTACAAAGAAAAACATCAAAACTAAAGGGGAAAATTAAAGCCAAAGAGAGTATGTGGGTTCCAGTGTTTTGGTTGCCCCACTTTAGGTAATGGGATTAGTTTTTTAGATTATTTTTAAAATTTTTATCTACTATTATTATCTTTAATTTCACCAGAGAAAGAAAGTAAAAAAGCAAGCCACCAGGTTCGGGACTTGAACAACTGTTGGCCATGTGGGAGTCTGACACCTTAACTATAATGTCATCTACCAACCCCAATGGGATTGATTTTTTTTTTAATGTCACCTACCAACCCCAATGGGATTGATTTTTTTTTTCTTTTGAGAGAGAGATATTTTTGCTATAGAGTGCATGTGCTTGTCAGAGAGACAGAGCAACAGAAAGGGAGAAGTCACCCCATCCTCCATGGGAAATGACCACATGGAATTCCTTCTCCATTCACCCGGAGGAAGATCTCCTGAGGACTGCAGAGGTACAGAAGAACAACCGCAAACACGTGAGGCTTCTTCAGGCTCAGTGTGGGGACTGATCTGAGGCGCTTCCTCCATTTCCCTGGTCAAACCAAGGTACGTAGCCAAGCTCTAAGTGAGGGCGTGAAGTCCTCCCTGACGACGATGAGGCTATGACGGGGCCGTCATG